CAGTATCTGGATAACCGTGAAGAATGTGTTCCATCAGTATCTGGATAACTGTGAAGAATGTGTTCCATCAGTATCTGGATAACTGTGAAGAATGTGTTCCATCAGTATCTAGATAACCGTGAAGAATGTGTTCCATCAGTATCTAGATAACCGTGAAGGATGTGTTCCATCAGTATCTTGATAACCGTGAAGGATGTGTTCCATCAGTACCTGGATAACTTTGAAGGATGTGTTCCATCAGTAGCTGGATAACTGTGAAGGATGTGTTCCATCAGTATCTGGATAACCGTGAAGGATGTGTTCCTTCTGTATGTAGATAACCGTGAAGGATGTGTTCCATCAGTATCTGGATAACCGTGAAGGATGTGTTCCATCAGTATCTGGATAACCGTGAAGGATGTGTTCCATCAGTACCTGGATAACTTTGAAGGATGTGTTCCATCAGTAGCTGGATAACTGTGAAGGATGTGTTCCATCAGTACCTGGATAACCGTGAAGGATGTGTTCCATCAGTACCTGGATAACCGTGAAGGATGTGTTCCATCAGTATCTGGATAACCGTGAAGAATGTGTTCCATCAGTATCTGGATAACTGTGAAGAATGTGCTCCATCAGTATCTGGATAACCGTGAAGGATGTGTTCCATCAGTATCTGGATAACCGTGAAGGATGTGTTCCGTCAGTATCTTGATAACCGTGAAGGATGTGTTCCATCAGTACCTTGATAACCGTGAAGGATGTGTTCCATCAGTAATCTGAATAACCGTGAAGAATGTGTTCCATCAGTTCCTGGATAACTGTGAAGAATGTGTTCCACCAGTATCAGGATAACCGCGAAGAATGTGTTCCATCAGTACCTGGATAACTGTGAAGGATGTGTTCCATCAGTAATCTGAATAACCGTGAAGAATGAGTTCCATCAGTACCTGGATAACTGCGAAGAATGTGTTCCACCAGTACCTGGGTAACCGTGAAGAATGTGTTCCATCAGTACCTGGATAACTGTGAACAATGTGTTCCATCAGTAATCTGAATAACAGTGAAGAATGTGTTCCATCAGTATCTGGATGACCGTGAAGAAAGTGTTCCATCAGTATCTGGATAACCGTGAAGAATGTGTTCCACCAGTACCTGGATAACTCTAAACAATGTGTTCCATCGGTATCGGGATAACCGTGAAGAATGTGTTTCACCAGTACCTTGATAACTCTAAACAATGTGTTCCATCGGTATCGGGATAACTGTGAATAACCCCTCATTGGATAACCTCTCATTGCCGAGCGCTAGGCACTCTTTTAACGTCTTTTGGTATGACGCGTCCAGGGATCGAACCCCGACCTTCCGCTCTATCCACTAGACCACGAAGGCGGTCCTAAAGGAAGGAAATATTAAGTGCAACAAAAAGTCACATTTTACTGCCAGATTAATTGATGAGTTTTAAGGTGCCCAGAATCCACACATGTTCAGAATACACGGGTTTCCAACTTGGTACTTGATTGAACCATTTCGCGGGGAAAGGATCCCGAGTAACTTATCCTTGTCGTAAAAGACGACTTACTGGATTTGGTGTCATGTGTTGTTTGCATGGGGCATTGCCCATTGTATCAACCGATCGTTTGCCGGTTCTAAACACGACTACTGTAGTTCTAATTGGTTTGTTTGTCTTCAAAATGTCAGTTAAAAGCACTCCAGCTATATCACGGCAATGTGCAAATAAAAAATATAATGACAAACGTCCAACGCCGTCAGTGTACCCTGAATCAACAAATTCATCGAGCCCGATTGTCAAATCCATTTTCTCGACTCTTACGACAAGTATAGGTGAGAAAGGATTTATTCTAACGCGAATACCGCCATGGTACCTTTATTTGACGGTCATAAAGAGTATTGCTGGTACTGGAGTGTACCAAGGTGTCATTGTATCTACAGAGAGCTCATTTCACACTTAACCAGGTTTGGTGACATTGCATTTTGTGAAGCGTTTTTTACATAATGGAGTGCTCTATTCATTTTCGAATCATGTTAAGCTCGCGGGTTGTTGTAGCCTCTTTGTCCGTTTTGTAAAACTTCGTATTTTAGCTTCACGTTATTTGCAGTCCATGGCCTGTGCCGCAGGGTCTCTTTCAGGGGACAGACATTGAAAACAGGCTGTCAACCTCAACGCATGAGCTGTTTTCGGCAATTTCGGGAATGCATTTTATTACGTGTCGACTTCAAAATGGAATCAATATGTTAAGCCAGAAATCTCCTCGCAACAGAATTCGGTGAGAAACAAACAGCACATATCAGAATACATTCTTGACAACTAATTATTGTTAAAACACAATGATTAGGAACCCCTACTGAATCTAACAGAAACAATGTCATGCAATTACAATATTGTTAAATATATTAAATTACACTGCCACATAAGACTGCATATACTTCTAAAATATTAAGTAATGTTCCGAATACCCATTTGTTATGGTGGTGACATTGATTCGATGGACGGAGTGGGTGACTTTGGTTCACCGGATCTTTTAAAAGTGAGTCAGAAGCATAACCTCGTGTCAGCCACGACGAGCGCGGTCATTGTTTTGACAAAACTAGAAAAATAATGTGGGCGTATCTGAGACTCGATCCCTCGATCATAGGTTTCCAGAACGCAACCACGACGCAACCCTGTGCAACGAATTTCGGGGCTTCAGACAAGCCGTTTCCCCGAGTTATTACGACGAATGAATCTTAGTTACAATCATGGATGTGTTCCATGGGTACCTGGGTTACTATGAGTGAGTGAGTGAGTATGGTTTTACGTCGCTTTTAGCAATATTCCAGCAATATCACGGCGGGGGACACCAGAAATGGGCTTCACACATTGTACCCATGTCGGGAATCGAAGGTTTACTATGAAGGACATGGTCCATTCTCCAGCTGGGTTAATATGAGGCATACGTTTAATATGTATCTGGATAAAGTAGTCTTCGGAAATTGGGCATTAAACGACAAGCGAACAACTATCCGACAGTCTAAAAACCTTAATGACCTTGAGATTGTGCAGTGAAGTGTGCAGTCGTCCGGGCGATAGTAATGCTAGCGCGTGTATTATGTGTCTTTTGCTTTCTCTGATGCACAGAGATAGAGGGCATCCACGTGGCTGCCGAATGTAAGATGAATAAAGTGTGTCACCGGTCATGCACTATTTCTTTGCACTACTCAAGGATGTAGACATTATAGCTATCTATTAATAATCTTCACATAGTTGTTAGGCCAGCTTACGCTCCAAAATCTGGGTCGTTTGTGAATTAAGTGAATAAGTGGTTCATTATTTCAGTGCGTTACTAGAACATGTGGTTGATATGACAATGTTAACAATTTGAGAAAAGAATATTTGGGTTTGTGGTGCTTCACGCCCCGTTTAGCAATATTCCATCTGATAAACTGAACCGCAAAAGAAACTACACCCCAGGTAACATTGCATGAAATGTTGTCATTTAAATATCTGGGTAGTTTTTGTCAAAGTTTCTAAAATTTAACGTTACCTTGTCCGGAAAAATGAAATTTGATGATAAAAAAACAAAGGGGATGACAATAAAACCGATCGCCCAAACGCATCACGGCAATGGCCATGGTAACCCGATGCACGTGAGTTCCGTGCAATCTAAAATGCACATGCGTTCCCCTATTTCTTGCCCTACAAAAATCCACCTAGATCGGATAACATTCATTCGTTATTGAATTGCTACCACATGCCAAGATTGACAAGAAATCAGCGACACCAAGCCCTTGGGTGATTGCAAGCTGGACAAACCGCCCAGCAAGTAGCCAATGCATTTCAAGTCCACGTAAGGACCATATACAAGCTCCAGCAACGGTACCAGACCACCAACACTACAGATGAACGACCACGTAGTGAAAGACCAAGGGTCACCACCCGACGTCAGGATCTTCAAGATCGCTTTGCTCCCGCTGCGGAAACTGCTCGAAAGACCACGAGGACACACCAACGACACATTAGTGCGGATACCGTGCGTCGACGATTGACGAGCATACACCTCCACCACACAGGCCACACCGAGGACCCATTCTAACACTACGTCATCGCCGGGACCGTCTTCAGTGGGCAACAAAGCACCAGCATTGGCGCCACCAGCAGTGGAGAAGAGTCCTCTTCTCAGACGAGAGCCGTTACTGTAACTCAATAGCAGATGGCAGAGAGAGAGAGAGTCTGGCGATGCCGTGGGAAACGTTCTTCGGATACTTGTGTTGTTGAGAGAGACACGTGGGGTGGTCCGAGCATCATGGTGTTGGGTAGAATTGGTCTTGCACAGAGGGTCGGCCCTGTGGTCTTCAAGAAAATCGGTCCAGTGAGAGGCAATGGTGTCACTGCAGCTCGTTACATTGATCAAGTCTTAAGATCACACGCCATACCTCATTTGGCACGTCGCCGCAACCACAAGTTTCAGCATGATAACGCCCGTGCCCACACTGCGAGAACAAAAAGAGTCTTCTTCCAGGAGAATGGCATCAGAACCATGCAGGGGCCTGCCCTCAGTCCCGATTTAAATCCAATTGAGCATTCAAAGACGGCTGAATGACGTCCGACCGAGGCCGACAACTGCAGCTGAACTGTGTTAGGCGTTCCTCAGCGTGTGGGCTCAAGTGCCTATGCCCTTCATCAACCGCCTCATCCATTCCATGTATCGACGTTGCACGGCAGTCATCAAAAGACATGACGGACACACGAGATACTGACTTGGGATGTCATTTTCTCAAAGACTAGTGTTGTGTTTCTCTTTAAGAACATTGGACACTTTAATTTCAACCTTGATGATCAGTTTTGCCAAGTTTCATCTTTTTAATATGTCTCAAAGTATGTTTACAGTGTTTGGACAAATAAGGTTTCTCATATATCTATCCATGGTGACGTTTCTTTTGCGGATCAGTATATGAACCTGACCGTAGGCAAGACAAGCTCGGCTGGTGCGTGAATCATACCTGAGCATTCTGCGGGAACAAAAATGTCTTTGTCGCCTGTGTGTGCGGAATGATAACGCAGTTTTTTAAAACGGTTTCATCCGGCTACACTTTTATACATGTAAGTCGGCTACCTGTTTAGTGTATGACGGCACGCCTAACTGTCACAGCTGTATTGGGTTGAGGGAGATCGGGATATAAGGTAAGCCATTATTTAAAGAAGTTTGAGTTAGAGAATGAGCTGTTTGAACGCCGATGTTAACAGTATTTCCAGTTATATCACGGTATGTTAGCTTGATGAGGACAAAACGACTGAAATGATGAAAGACGTGTTATACGTATGTATGCAATTTATCTGTATATGGGCCAGTGGCTCTCATTCGAATAAATATAGAATCTCACCCGAGTTTCTTTTGATATCAAATATATCAACACGAGTTGATAAAATTGAAAAAACTCTGAGGCTTGGCGAGGAGTTTTTCAACTTTTATCAACGTGTGTTGGTATATTTGATATCAAAAGACACGAGGGTGAGATTTTATTTATCATCCAACATCAATCTTCCAACCTTTTCAGTTTGTGGACAGACATATTCAGTGTTTTCGGTGTAAAAGGTACGGCAAACAGCTTCAGTAGCAGAGCCATTAGTGATGTCATTTGATGTCATTGGACCAGTCGTCTAAGGCGCCGCGATTCGCTGTGCACAGCTGCGTCCCTTGGACACGCCAGAAACCTATAATTGTGGGTTCGAATCCCGGTTCGCCCCGATTATGCTTCTAGGTTTGTCAGCAACATACCAATCTCGTGGGTTTCACCGAAGTGGTAAACGTCTGAGACCTGCATCACTTCTGGCTTTCCTCCCACATTAAGCTGACACGCCGCGATATAACTGGAATACTGATTAAGCGGCGTTAAACCCAACTCACTCACTCATTTATTCTTTCTGTTATTTCTTGCATTTGGACGGTTAAAAAGTTAACACTCTCCTTCTTAAGTTTGGTTGAAAATGTAAAACCTCGAGTTGCATTTTCAGCCACAGCCGAGGAGTGCTTAAACCAAACACAGGTTTCTGGCACGCCTGACGTAGCCAACCATAAACCCCCTCCTTCAAGGAGTACTAAATGTTGAAAGGTCTAAATATAGAAGGTATATAAGGCAACTCCTTGTGCATGACTGATGTCTTTGCATTACATAGTGTTTAGCAGCGTGGTGTTACACTACCGATATACCGTTCACGTTTGGTCGTTATATCCTAACTTTGAGGAATCCCCCGATACAAGCTTGCTCATTTTATATATATAAGACTGTTCTCGTGTTCTGTAAGACATGGTTTGCATGAATGGAATTTTAGCACATTTAGATCACTTAGTAATGCACAATATTGGCTGAGACAATGGCAATTATGGATTGATATAATTGGTATGTTTCTGTCAGTGCTTGCTAACGTACGACACATTCATGCATATTAGTTATGCGCTAAAACGTTTGGACTTCTGGAAAAGGTTAGTTACCAACAAAACCATAATAAACTAGCCGTCACATATATACTCTGCAAAAACAACAACGCAAAAGTGATTTTTTATACGTATAACTTATATATCATATACATAATTAACATTATGGTAATCGTTTGTTCAGAATTGACACACGTCATTGTCATTGACCCAGGTTCCATATGCCACACATGGACCAGTAGATTTTTCAAGGTAAAGGTCATCTGTGCTTAATATCTTGTATGGCCACCATCAGAGTCCAAAACTGATTGACTTCGTCGGCCCATGGAAGCAGCCTGGGAAATGTTAACCCACTCTTCCTGCACTGCTTGTGCCAAGTGTTGTAGGTTATGTGGTTGTTGCTGACGTGCTCGCAGTCGTTGATCCAGTGCGTCCCATAAATGTTCGATCGGGTTTAAATCTGGAGACCTGGCGAACCATGGCAAGACCTGGATGTTGTTATTCCTGAAAAAGGCTTGCCGTGTAAGGTCGGGCATTGTTTTCTTGGAAAATGCAGCCTAATTGAATAATGGGAAGCCAACCATAAACCCCCTCCTTCAAGGAATACTAAATGTTGAAAGGTCTAAATATAGAAGGTATATAAGGCAACTCCTTGTGCATGACTGATGTCTTTGCATTACATAGTGTTTAGCAGCGTGGTGTTACACTACCGATATACCGTTCACGTTTGGTCGTTATATCCTAACTTTGAGGAATCCCCCGGCAAGACCTGGATGTTGTTATTCCTGAAAAAGGCTTGCCGTGTAAGGTCGGGCATTGTTTTCTTGGAAAATGCAGCCTAATTGAATAATGGGAAGCCAACCATAAACCCCCTCCTTCAAGGAGTACTAAATGTTGAATAAGACCTGGATGTTGTTATTCCTGAAAAAGGCTTGCCGTGTAAGGTCGGGCATTGTTTTCTTGGAAAATGCAGCCTAATTGAATAATGGGAAGGACGAGTGACCGAAGAATCTGATCTATGTAACATGCACCAAGTCTGTTCTACCAGGAGATGCCTGCCCACATGTGCACACTACCATCGCCTAATCTGTCAACTTCCTTTATGCAATTTCGCTCAAAATGTTCCCCATGACGTCTTTAAACACGTCGTCTACCATCCGCACGGCGAGACATAAAACGTTTTTATAGCCCCATAAGTGATGTTGCACGTGCATGTTATGTTGGTGTGTTTCGGCGCCAGGTACTCACGTGGTTATGTTTTTTGAGATTGGTCCATTTTTTCACAAAATTTCTGCAGTACCTAATTCTTTCCACACAAATGAATCCCAATCCATGCAGAAAAGACGAATTCACTTTTGGTGTTAATTTTGTATGGGTATCGGCAGCATCTCTCAGATATTTCTGCAGAGTATAATTCACACCACTAACAAACAATTTTATATTTACTGAGACAGAAGCTAACGCTGCTGCATTCCTTTAGCATGTTTTTTTTTATTTTCAGATATCCAGTATGGCCTCCAATGGTACCTACAGTCTTGAAACAGGTGATCATACTGGTAACCAAGAACCACGCGGTGACCGACGCTCGGCAGGGTCAGTATCAACATTCAAGAGCACTCTGTGCCACCAGATATCAGGTGTCATTATTTTCGCCATTGGTTTGGTAACTGGAATTATTATTGGAATCTATGCTGTGAAGCCCATGGGTGATTCCCAATGCAATGTTATGACCACTCCGGCTCCAGTTCAAGTTATGGTAACAGCTCCTGTTCAACCTTCATCGAACAAAACATCCATTCCAACCTGCCCTGCAGATAACGCACCGACCAGATCCAGTAGATCCGAAGACAAGGGGCCATTTGAACTGCTGTCTAAAGAAGAAATGAACATTATCAAAAATTTCATGAAAACTCAAGGTCTTATTTCAGTGACAGATGGAAAACCTACTCTGAAGGATAGCTACATCTATGGCATATCTCTCTACGCTCCATATAAATCAGAGGCCCTCAACCACCTCGATAAAGGGGGTCCCAATCCAGGCAGGTACGCAGATGTCCACGTTCACAGAGGCAACATAGCTGTTCCAGACTTGATGGAATACAGGGTCGGACCTCTTGGTGGTGCGATGACAGCTCAGGCTATGTACAGAGATGGGGAACTCCCTTACAATAGTCGACCCAGAGATGGCATTGAATTTGAAGGAATCGCTGAACAAGTCTTTCTCGCAATGACCACACTACGCCCCTTACTTCAGGAGAGCTTTGACGGGGGATATACCCCTAACGGAGGAATTGACTTCCATGCACAAGCTCCGCCAGGTCTTGATCCAAATGAAAGGGAAACACGGTTTGTGTTGGGTTTGACGACAGACGGCTTGGGTCGCGGGCGAGATTTAAACTTTTTACCGCTCACGGGAACTGTTCACAATCCAGGAGTGAATACTAACACCTGGTACACACACAGCTTTTACTATTTAGACCAAGGACCTTTCCCAACAGCCGACGCTCTACTGTCTGCCTACAACAACGGAACACTCAGAAAATTTGCCCTGCCAAGAGGTTTCCGCCAATCACTGTTTTCAACCTCTTATCCAAAACAAAACAATGATAAACCGAGGGACTACTCTGACAGACCTCCACCCAGGTCATATCCTCCATCTGGTCCACGATTTACAATCCATGACCACACGGTGAAATGGATGGACTGGGAATTTGTTGTTGGCAACAGCCAGTTCCGTGGCCCAAGTATCTATAATGTTAAATTTAAGGGAGAAAGGATTGTTTATGAGAATTCCCTCAACGAAGCAACCTTAACCTACGCATCAGACGTGACTTCAGGAGCAAATACAATCTATCTTGATGGTACTTTCGGCCTGGGAGAGGTCCAGGATGTCATACTCGGAGTTGATTGTCCTTTCCATTCCACCCTTGTCGATGCATCATGGTTTTCCGGTTATAGTCAGACTCCCATTACAGCTAAAGCCATATGTATATTTGAAACAGTCGGCGAAGATGCTCTGTGGAGACGAAAGGGCATGTTCGCTGCTGGGTTGGCTAACAATTATCTTGTTGTTAGGTTTGCATATCCCATTGGTAACTATGACTATTCTTTTGATTTTCGATTTTTCTTAGATGGGTCCCTTAAAACAGAAGCAGCTGCGTCTGGGTATATTCATTCGAGCTTTTGGGATCAGGATGATGCACGTGCTGGACAATCGAAATCGACTGATGCATTTGGGTATAAAATCGGAACATATACACACGGTGCACTCCACGATCATACTTTTGGTTTCAAGGTCGATATGGACATTCTTGGTACCAACAACAACTTTGACATTATTAAGTGGAAAGCTGGGGATGTACTGGGGGCCTTGAAGACACAAGCCAATGTCAGTGAGAAGCCTCCTTATTTCCTGTATAATGAAACAAGGTATGTGGAATGGGAAACCCTAGCAACGGAATCTGGTCTGAAAATCGATATGATTAATCCCGAATTTTGGACGGTCACGAGTGAGAACAAAAACAGGTGGGGAGTGAAAAGAGGGTACAGAATTCTTCCTGAAACCATGGCAGTACAGGTCCTACCTGATACACATCCAGTTATGAAGGCTTCATCTTACACAAAGTACCACTGCATTGTCACCAAACACAATGATACAGAGCGATTCATCTCTGGAACATATGACCTTAACCGATTGGCTGACCCGATGGGCTCCATTGAGAACTTCATTAACAACGAACCAATCAACAATACGGATTTGGTCACGTGGCTGGTAGTTGGCTTTCTGCACATACCGACAGCTGAAGATTTCCCGATAACTATTGGGGCGAAGTCAAGCTTTACCTTAAAACCCTGGAACTATTTTGACAGAACGTCAACTTTTGACATGCCCCAGTTCTTGGATACGAGAGATCACTCCTTCACTGAGAGGCCACCTTCTCCGAAATCCTGTGTTGAGAAGAAGACACGAGACTGCTACTTTTGTAACTAACATATCTGCAGCTGCTTCCGTTATTATACTCACACTACTATACCTGTGCACTACTGATGAGAATAATATGGCAGTTACATTATCGGAAGTCATATCCCTTTATTAATCCATCATTAGCTCACCTGTATACTGACTCTGAGCCGACCAGTCCTTGTTTTAGCCCCTTCATGCCGAGCGCCAGACAGTGTAACAATAAGTACCATCTTTTAACGCCTTTTGGTATGACGCGGCCGGGGATCGAACCCCGGACCTTCCGCTCTCCGGGCGGACACTCTACCTCTAGACCACGTCAAAGTGACGCATGGTCTGTCCTTCATAAGATCCATCTGACCATTATTCTGCCATCACGTATCATTGTCAAAATCTCCTCTTAAATCATATGGTTTATAAAGCTGAAGTTGTCTATGAATGATCCCAGAACCGCTATTATCTTCGAAAACCTCTGACACAACCTTTAACATGACTGCCATGCAACCATGCTAGAAATGTCACTGTGCTCTGTACTCGGCTTTTCTGCTTTCATCTTCATGAAATATAGAGTAATATGATGTATGCAGAATAACATATACCTTTTCACGGAATATTTCGTGTGTATTTTTATCTAATACAGTGAACTACGGTTATAAAAAAACACAAAGGGACCACTAATTATTTTCTATATAACCGTAGTTTGTTATAAGCATATATACAGCATACATACAACAAATGACCGGGACTAAAAATAAGTTCATTATATAGGTCAGTTCGTTATAACCGTTCGTTATAAACGTAGTTTACTCTGTGTGTCTTCTGATTTCCGTTTATCTGTGTAGCTATCTTTATTGCATTTGCAACCCTGTATTTAGAAGTATTCACGGTAAAACGTTTCCCATACTTAAACATAAGAATGAAAATATCGAAGCATGTGTTAGAGAGGAAAATATGAATAAAAGCGACAAATCCCTTTCCAAAGCAACTAGAGTCGTTTGTACGAGTCCGACTGTATCATGAGCATGTGTTTATGAATCGTTATCAAATAGTGATCATACCAGGTGTTCGTGAAAAGGTGAGCGTATTCTGCCCAAGGGTGGCTACTGTCACAAACACATACAAAGGCAAGTCAAGTATTGACCATAAAAACACGGGAACATATGGTACATGTCAAAATAGTATCGGACATAATTTATGTCACTTGTCAAATTTGGAAATGGCTGCCATAGCACTTTTCGAAAGCTTTACTTAGAGCTTGAAAGTTGTAACCCTGTTCAGACCTAGTCGTACGACGCTCTTTGAAATCGTCGTAGACACAGCCTGCTCGATTTTACCTTAAATGTTGTGAAATGTAGACACCAAATGTAAGGCTAGAGCTGCTGGACTATAGCTCGACATGAAAGGAGGTGAGGTGAGGTGAAATGGGATTTAACGTCGCGTCCAAGATTATTGCACTTATATAGCGACGTACATGTACGTGTGTGTGTGTGTGTGTGGCTGCTTGTACTAGTCCGGACTGATACCGATTTATAGTGCCAGCTCAATGAGATACCAATGCTCCGAGCCGACCAGTCCTTGTTTTAGACCCTTAATGCCGAGCGCCAGACAGGGTAAGAACAAGTACCATCTTTTTAACGTCTTTTGGTATGGAGCGGTCGGGGATCGAACCCCGGACCTTCCGCTCTCCGGGCGGACGCTCTACCATTAGACCACGGAGGCGGTCCGACATGAAAGGAAGGTAACTATTGGAGAGTTACGTCACCCTGATGTGTCGTATCTATATTAAATCCAAAACACGAACTGTGCTGGCACTTACTCAGCACTCAAAGAATAATTCTACATGGTTTAATTTTGTAAAATACAATTTCACTAAAAAACGTTAAAAATGTATTTGCATTATACACAACTGCTGTTGGGTATCTTAGAAATCTTATCTTTCAAGACCAATAAATGTACATTTTAACGGCATAAGTTTACACGGTAGGGTCACTTGGTTGCAAATAAATTTATTATCTCAGTCTTCATTGAACCAATTTCATTTTACACAAATTACCTTGCCACAGATTGCTTTTAAAATCTGTTACAGAAGTGATTAATGTGAAACAGACATAATACAATTTGACAAGGGTTATTTCAAATTTCAATTACATAAAATACAAACTCTATATGTTTTCTTTTGCCCCTCAGCTTAAGTCCAGTTCTTTTCACTCTCTTTATCGATGAACTTATACATGAGTGAGTGAGTTGGGTTTAACGCCGCTTTTAACAGTATTCCAGTTATATCACGGCGTGTCAGCTTAATGTTGGAGGAAAGCCTGAAGTGATGCATGTCTCAGACGTTTACCACTTCGGTGAAACCCGCGAGCACGGGTATGGTGCTGACACAACCACAACCATAGGCTTCTGGCAGGCCAAAGGGTCGCAACTCTGCACAGCGAATCGCGGCGCCTTAGACGACTGGGCCACCCGTGCCCCCAATGCATACATGAACAAAGTGAGTGAGGTAACAGTTAACGTTGCTTCGGCATTATTTCAGGCCTGAAACGGAGAGCGTTCAATTAAGAGGTATATGTGTGAAGGAAAGTTTTGATGAAATCTTGTTATTACTGTTCGCGGATGATGTCTGACAGACAGAAAGACAGAGAGTTTATGTATAGAAATACTTTGAGGCCACTGGTGGAAGTTTATAAAACAATCACTACGTTTTATACTGGGATAATGGACGTAACATTTTGGGATGTACAATTCTGTCAGATATTTGTTAATTTCATGTGGATATTCCTTTGTGTGGACTTCCCAATATGTAGGGGATACAACTTTCTTCTTATACTCTTTCAAATAAAGGTTACATGACATGTATAGTCACAACTGGCTTGATAATATATCTTCTTCACGTTTCCTCAGCCATTACAATGATATCAAGTCTGCTACAGAACCAGAGAATTATATGAGTATATAAGATGATAAATCGCTTGTTAGGGCATTACGTAAATTCAGAGTGTCATTACAAAATTTCAATCTAAATTTCAAACGTAAATGTGAAAATAGGGAAGTTGAAATGTGTATCTGTAAAGAGATTGGGGATGACATTCATGTTTTATTAGTACGTGATAAGTATGAACATCTTAGAGAATAATACACTCCGATGTTTAACTATAGGCATAAAATCAAGATGTTAATGATCAACAACTCTGCTGTTATACGTTCATTAGCAATATTGTTTAAACATATATTCTCTGTCATTCTGTTGTTTATACATTATGTATATCACGTGACTAAACAAATCAAACTGAAAATGTCAACTGTACAATGGACCATGTCTCCTTAAATAACTAATAAAACATCTATCCATGTATTGATGTTGATAATGTTGATAATATTGAGTGAGTGAGTGAGTGAGTGAGTATGGTTTTACGCCGCTTTTAGCAATATTCCAGCAATATCACGGTGGGAGACACCAGAAATGGGCTTCACACATTGTACCCATGTCGGGAATAATAATATTGACATAGTCAAAGTACATAATGATGGTGGTTATGTAATTGAACTCCAAAGAAACGTAGATGCTTTGGAAATCATACTGTAACAAATGGGGGTTTGAAATAAGTTTAGATAAGACAAGAGTAATACTATTTAGAAATGGTGGTAACTTGGTTCATTTTTTTCTTCGGGTTTGTTTGTTTGTTTGTTGTTTAACGCCGTTCTCAGCAATATTCCAGCTATATTACGGCGTTCTGTAAACAATTCGAAAAGTGGTCACAGGTAGTTAAAAATGGAACACATATTCAGTTCAAGATTAAAAAACACTAGTCTTGACTAGTCCAAAATAAGGTTTCAAAACACACAGTGTTTCAAAAGGAAGTTGACACATAACCCTCCAAACTGAGTCCAAGGATATATATTTTAATTACATCGCAATCGGTGGTATATTTGCACTTTGGAATAAACACTGGCACCTCGCATTGTAGGGATGACAGGTTGTAGAAATAACTCATTTACACATGTATGTCTTCAACAAACGTTATTAACTTACATTCTGTTATTTATTTCAAATGTGTAAAATGTATTAATTAGTAAGCAATTGCCCCTCCCCCCCCCCCCCCCCCCCCCCCCAAAAAAAATAAAAAATAAAAATAAATAAAAATAAATAAATAAATGAATAAATAAAAAAAAATAATAAAGAAATTTCTCAAATTCCTCAAATAAATTCTTCTCTACCCTGAACTGGGATGAGACTGATTTGACCAACATCTCTGTGCCTCTGACAATTTCACATGAAGCTAGATGACAACCGTATTTCCTCTATAAGGTGCAAGGATATCTATCAATTTCGAGAGAGCCGTTTACTCGGCATGTTTTACAAGAAATACGGTGTAGAGTTCTGATGGGTTAACGGCAGCATTTGTTTATGGATCGAAAATATATGCTGTCGATATATTCATACGCAACGTTATTGTGTAAAAAGTTGGTTGGTTGGTTGGTGTGTTGTTAAACGCCGCAAACAGCAATATTCCAGCTACGTCACGGTTATTGTGTAAAATGGTTGAATTTAAAAGAAGTTTCAGTTTATGAAAGGATACCCCCTTTTAACCAATCAAAATAAAGCATTCTTAAATGTCATATCAGAATGTTAAGTAACGTATTCGTCTTTCTTGCAACTATATTCTTCTAATAAATCGCAACTTGTACCAGAGAAGTATCTGACGATTTATTGCTTTTATTACACAGCGTCAAGTTTTTAAATAAGAAGATAAAAAGACCGAAAAATCTCATGTGTAGTCTTATAATAGAGGCGAAGTCGCATTTCATGTTATTCATTCGCGTTCGAAACGGCATCGAATACATGGAATTTTTAACTGATCACACATGGTCTACACTCAAAATTAAGATTCCTCGAATGCGAAATAGTTCGTTTAAGCGGCATTAATTCTTCGACATTATGAACAATTGTACCGAGGCGGATACCGGAATAACATGCGAATTGGAAGATATGTCAACGGGTTGGTTCCCATTGATTGACATACACCTAGAGGCATCCGAAAGTGGTTTGGCGAGGTAACTGCGTGCACTGGTATTTGGCAAAATGTTGGAGATACCAGGGTGTTGTTCTTCAGTGATTCGTGAATATGTGTTTAAATTGTTATTTTTGTGCCCAGACACTTGCATAATTTAGTGGGCTAGAACGCTCTTGCTGGAAACTGATTTTTTTCCTAGCGCTGTGATAACTGATGCGTTTGTCGGATGAAACATTGGCTTTGGAAGACATGTTTCGCCTTATTGCACCAAGTTTGTTTTTGCCTTTTAACCAGGATTCACTAGATTTTGGACACCCTCTTGTGTTTGTTGCGAGATAGAATGGATCAAAAGAATAAATCAAAAGAATGTCATTTCACTGACGAATATAAAAAGACAAATTTGCCGAAAGGCTGACCATCCTACTCGTACCAAAACCACCCAGAAGGCTGAAATTCGTGTAAAGACTAATGGCTTTAAGAAAATTAAAGTTTCTTTACGTTAGAGTTACAGCATATGCGGTGGCTGAGGGCGTATGTCATGCAAAAAACTAGTACTTTTTCCAAGAAACAGTTGTTTGCACTTTTTTCTACTTAATGTATGAGTCATGTTTGCTGAAGAAACACTCAGCTCATTTATAAAATATTCGGAAGCTTTCACCATTCAAACATCACCCATTATAATTGGCGTTTTGAAATATCGATCAATTGTATGACATATCATGATGCGAACAACTGTGTGATAAGGGATCTTATGGCTGAAATATTATAGGATATTTTTATACAGTCCGCAAACTTCGCATTTTAAGTTTACGTTAAAATAGTGTGTAATATATATCATTTTCAAATTTATGAGATGATGTTATCTTGCAGTAGATGATAATGTACATAAATGTCACGATTTTTATTAATCTATTGATTTTCTTAGCAGCTAGGGTTATATGTCTCTCTCTCTCGCTCCTTCCAAAA